GAAACAGAACTTATTTAAGGCAGGGAATATTGCTTTTTAAAATAGGAAACCGACCTTACTTTAGAGATACTTTACATACAAAACATACCTTATTAGTTTGGGCATGAAACAACCCAACTGACTGGTTACGAATTGACCAGGCTGGTACCTTGTAAAAGGGATCTTCAGGTAGAAGTAGATTACGAGTGCTCCGTCCTTTTCGGGCGATGTCAAAAAAAAACAAAACAAAACAAAAATTAGCGGAAACAAAATTTATGTAAGCAGGTCGCGGAGAGTTACGAAAAGTCGAGATCGTACTTTTCGTGTGCGGCCATATTAGTATAGGTTAAAGTAGCTGTCTTGAACTCAAGACAAAATAGGTCACCGTTATGATACTTTATTGACTCGATTCATTACCGCGGCGTTTATTACATATTTAATGTTTTCGAGAAGGCATTTGTCGAAGGGTATAATCCATTTAACTCACCCCATCACTCTATTACCCATTTTTATCATTCCTGTCCACTTTTGGGAAAATCTGCTTACCCGGCGACACTTAAAGCTTGGGCATATTCTACGCTTGCGTGCACGTATGAGGTCTGGATAGAGTTTGTTTGTCAGCAAAGTAGTCACACTTTTATTCTGTCTGCTAAATAGCGGCTTGTGTATAATCAATAAGTGAGATCTCTAAGATCAGGAAAATTTACTGGTTGACCAAAAATGGACTGAGACTAAAACTGCATGCATAAGGCTTGTGCACATGTTGCGGATATCCACTCAGATGTGAATATTCTACGAGGGCGTGAATCTTTCCGGTAGTGGACCATGAAGATAAAACAGGAAAGGATGGAGTAATGAGTATTACAGCATATGACATCATGTTCTATTTTCCTTATAGAGGATATTTCTTCAGCTTTCATATATCATATATTTTTTAAACTTTTAGTCTTGGAAAGGCAAACGATTTTGTACTAACGAGTTTAAGAGCTGCAACCCAAATTTTTACCCCTAGCGTTATAGACTTTTCATAAGTTTTTTACACAAAACGTATTTTATTTTAAAATATGCTTACGAATCCGAACGAAATATAATCCAATGTTGTATCTGCTGTCCATTTCGTTCTATTTCGAAATTGGCGGCTGAATCTTTTTGTCGCGAAAATTTTCTTTATTGATTAAGGTGGCAGGACAGGGAAAACAATCATTTTTTGAACCAGCGGTTTAGCCATGTGTAATGGTGTTCATCAAGAAAAGTAAGTCTTTCGCCATGTACCGTTCAATTTCATCAATCGATCTAGAAGTTAAAGGAATTTAACAATAATTGCAAGCAGATTCTGCAATCTTACAGAATTTCAGTTATCGGCGCTGCAAAGGATGATTAACGAGAAAGTGAAAAGAAAGCTTGTACCCACACTTTGCTACGCTGCTGAGATGGCTTCAGAATGGCTCGATCAACAGCAAAACAGAAAATGAATTATGACGATATGAGCGCAGGAAATCTTTTAATGAAAACGTGCGCCTTTCCGCTTCTTGGTGCTTTTGATCTCTCAGGCTCCGCCTTAAGAATAGAAAAAAAAAAAAACGCGGGCTACTTTCGAACACAACTAGCCGAGTTACCTCACCCACCCGGGGGTTCCATACCTCCATGTAATCAGACCCTCAAGAATAAATATAAATAATTTGATTTTTGCCTTTTCAGGTAAAGCCGAAGAAATGGAAAGAGAGCGGAACTAGGAGAATTAGGGTTCTTCATTCCAATCTCAATTCATCACAAAATGATACTTATTAGCCATATTTTCTCTATTTTCATTAGGCTTTTAAGAAATTCAAATCGATAAGATATAATAAGTTCTGGGCCGTTTGTAAAACCACTGGTCCACACTATCCGTTCGTGGTTAATAATCTGAATGACTCATTAAAGTTTAATGAAGTGCGAATCGACGCAATTGTGGTATTTTTTCGCCCTTATGGGCCGTTTAAAGCGTCATTTACGAAATTAATTTTGGCTTGAGGCCGCTAAGAGATCGAAAGAGAAGAAAGGGAGACCTCGTCACCAATCAAATGGTTTGCATTTAACTACAGGTAGTTATTATGGTTTACCAAATCGTTATATCATAAGATGAATAATATACACTTATGTTAATTCCTTCTTACTTACGATCTATTAGAGCTCTGCAAATAGGTGACATCACCACTATCAACATTTTGCCCCTATATTGTATTTAACCAGTAGATTGTATGTTGCTGTGCATCTGTTCAGTTATGGATCACAGATGGCATTAAAATGTGGTGAGAACAAAAAAGTGGCGTGCAAGGTGCAGCTGAGTGTGTCACTGATGTTAACAACAATGCAATACGAACTAGACAAGCTAATTACAAATTTTGCTCCCATCGTTTCTGGGACCTTCAATAACTTTCAGGGCTTTCCCTCTTGATAAAGACAAAGTAAAGGTTATTTTCTGACTGTTTAGGGAAAGAAAAGAATATAAGCTAACTCTCACTGGCTCTATTGGAAAATCGACACAAACATAACAGCTCTCAAAAGAGGACACCTTTATGCATATTAATTCTTTAACAATACATTGAAAGAGGTTTGCAGATCGTTTACAAGTTAACAATCACAGGATTCAATGCCATCAAGATATTGAATTCTGCATAGTTTTGAGATCTTAAAAGGTAACACTGGCTATGTCAGGAATGAAGTCAAGCTCATTTGCTGTTGAGGGATATATATAAAAATGACCGTCGCATCTTGTCGAAAACAACCTTAAAATTTCCAAGCAAAGCCTAATGTAATCAGTAGCGCTTATATAAGATTCTGACTACCTCCCAACATATCCTTGAGTTAGCAGGTAATTTAGTGTTAACAACTGAGTTGAAAACGTAAATTAGCCACCGTAAAGGGTAAAAAAGCTGACGTTTCGAGCGTTAGCCCTCCGTCAATCGCTCTGACGAAGGGCTAACGCTCGAAACGTCAGCTTTTTTACCCTTTACGGTGGCTAATTTACGTTTTCAACTCAGTTGTTAACACTAAATTATCTGCTAAACTCTCCCACCGACGCAGCACCACAGTTTCTTTAGAAACTTATCCCTTTATCCTAAAGTTAGCGGAGATTTGCAAAGAAAAAGCCTCCTTCTCGGCATAGTTTGCTCTTGAAATACGTTCAAAATATGTTGATGTGAGTCATATCTTAGACCTTTTAGCAGTGGCAACACCGAGGATTGAATGGATGAAACTCGACGGCATTAAGGCTGCCAATGGCCTGTTAGTGCCATTATTTTTCCTGTTCTGAATGTTATTATTAAGCCCCTATAATTTCATGCCACTTGAAGAATATTTTAGTTCGCAGTTATATTGAAACAATTCACGTTTTCCGATTTCGTCAAAACAAGAACAGCTCTCCTCTAATTTTGAATAATCTTAAAGGCACAGCAATCTGCTTCTGTCGATATAAGAATCATCTAAACACAGTTCAAACCGAGAACTGGACCGGAGGCCTTTAACGAGAAAGGGCTACAAGGTCACTCTTTCTTCTTTTAACGGCCTCTTGCCAAAAGTAATTTCGCAAAAACTATTTATATTTATTCATGAGGGCCTGTTTACATGTAAGTGAGGGACCTCAGGTAGGTGAGGTACCCCGCCCAACCGTGGTCGTTTACATTTATACCCAAGGCGGAGCCTGAGAGATCGAGAGCACCAAGAAGCGGAAATAGGTCAGTGTCGTGAGACTTCCTGATCTGAT